TGATGTTTCATGCAGCGCACAACCATTTTTTCTCACAATTTTCCTAATCGGGGCATATTCTCCCTTTCGTTGGTCTTGTCATATCCTTGTTTTCTCAGACTTTGGTTACGTAGAATGCTCAGTCTGCTTTCTTCCAATCTTCTGTTCATTAACCTTCTTTCCTCAAGGACGTCACTGATCTCCTAATCTTCCGTTTCCTTGTAATTTCATCCTATGAGGTCGTTTTTTCAGTTGCCTTCCTATTAATCTCGTCTCCACTTTGTGTGGTATGTTCCACTATTTCTGATCCTTTGCTAGCCAACTTCCTTCTGAGCTCTTGTAGTTTCTTGATCCGTTTGCCAGCATATTTCTGTTTTCAGACGTCACATGTCATGAAGTATACTCCCAAGCAATCCGATTTGTCTACCCTCTCATGTTGCGAAGTATGTTTTCTTCTTCGTGGCCTCCGAAATATTTCATTTTTTTATTCTTGGTTACTTTTGAGTTAGTTTGCTGTAAGTTTGGCGTAGCCACTTTTGTGAGCCTTTCTCCATGCTTGCTGTTTTTTTCATATTTCCTCTTCTTCCACCATTTATTCACGACCAATATGTTTATTTGTATTAATTCTATGGGGTATCCGTTGTCAAGGCACATCAGGGTTATCTCTTCCAATTATTCATTCCAGCATTCCATGTCATGATCATCTGATTATCATGCTACTCATTACTCCGACCTCCACTCAGTATTTATGATGAGATTGAAAAATAAGTATTACTCCGAAATATGACTTCTTTCTGATCAACTTTCTCTTGAGTGTCCCTTTAGAACGAATGAGTGAAATATACATGAGACGTAAACGCCACTCCTCTACTTCCCTTATGAACTTAATTCCTACATAAATTTGGTGCAAAATTTTCAGTTAATTCTTCTATGTTTTCCTTCCATGCGACCAAAGTGCGAAGTAGTCGTCCAGGTACCGCACTCTTGGCTGCAGCGGTGATGTCTTGAAGTTCTCTTCTAATTTATTCATGCATATTTTTGCCACTATTTACAACGAAAATAAGTAGTGCTTGCAATTGATTGCAATAGAAAACGTGTTTGCTTAATCGACACTTGGACTATATTTACTTGTGAGTTTCGTGACTACCAGTAAATCAGTAATATGAGATGTATTCACCCAATTTATTTGAGGTAATGAAGGAGTGATAATAGAATTTTCCCACAATGATATGAATAGAGTTGACTTCTCCATTCAATTTCACATATTCTATGCGAGGTCGAATTTGCAGTCCACCCTTTTGGGAAATTTAATTGAAACGTAAGCTCTACTCATATCATTGTGGAAAAATTCTACTACCAGTCCTTCATCACCTTAAACGAAATTGGGTCAATACATCTCATA